TGCAGTTAGTTATATAGTTAAGTCTAATAGAACAGTATTTGTTACTGTAAGAGATATGCATTTAATGTTTAGACACTCACACAACTCAATCTCTATTAAATGATATAGACTATTTTGAGTTTTTTTTTTACTTTTATATTATACATAATAGTTTTCTTTCAACAAGATTATGCATTTCCATCCAAGTACCAATGCTAATAGGATGTTATATTTATTTTTAATGGAAAATGGGATTACTTATGTAATGTGCATATATGTACGAGTATATCTTAGTATATGGATATAATGTGACTTACAATATTTCTGTATTTAAAGACTTACAGTTATGATGGATGAGACTTGCACTTAAATTTATATAAAATAATTATACAGGTTTTGATTGGTCTACAGGTTAAAGGTGTTTATACCCAGTGTTAGCTGGCTAATAATAGTATCTATAATAGAGTTTATACATTATAGTTTTCTTTCTACTAGATTTTGAATTCCATCCATTAGTACCAATGTTAATGTTAGGATTTCATATTTATTTAATAGAAACTGGGAATTGTTAATGTTACGTGCATACATGAATATCTTAGTATATGGATATGATGAGACTTTTAATATTTCTGTATTTAAAGAGTTACAGTTATGACACTATTATTAAAGTGATGGAGGACTTTCATTTAAAGTTATAAATGATAATACAGGTATTGCTTAGTATACAGGTTAAAGGTTTATACCAGTGTTAGATGGCTAATAATAATATATATAATACAGTTAAAGGAATCTTAGCCAGGATGTTGTGGTTTATCTTCTGAACTTGTGAGATTTGGTAGGTTAAAAAATGACCTATACAGAATTGAGGTTAATTAGTGTCCATTACTAGTCACGGCAGGGTCCATGGTGCAATTCCACCGGACAGTTGCATGGCAATATAGATATATATTCCACACTCTCTGTGCTACTGGGTCAGTACTGGTCCTTTAAGGGAAGAAAATGTCCTTAAATTTCGATCAAGCAATTTTTAAAGTCTCAAACAATCGTATTCTGAATTGTTATTCTTTTTTTTCTAACATGTGCATAGTTTGAAAAGGACGGCTTCTGTCTTATCTATTTGTAATGGAGGGACACCGGTCTCAAACTCCAGGTCTCAAGAGTCAACCCAACTATAAACTTTTCATAGAGTAAATTGTAACTTGCACTTGAATAAACTTGTGCACTAAATTTTATAGTGGGTGATTTGTGCCACATGAAAATAGACAAAGTACAAAAAGTAACCGGGCGCCAGATGAAAACATGAAAATACAATCTACCACAAAATGGTTCGTTTGTTGTATTTTCTTGTTTTCGCCCGGTGCCTCCTGATGCAAAATACAAATCAACCTCCATAAAATTTCTTATCAAAGAAAAAAGTTTGTTTTTTATCTTCAAAAAAATAGATATTGTATATGTATTAGTACAATTATGTTTACTTTCAAATTGACCTGTTATGAATAATGGCACAACCAATAAATGTATGAGCCGTTTTTTAGTAAAAATAATTATACAATATATAAATTGTTATTTTGATTAAGACTATGAGTATGTAAGTTTTTTTTCTTATTTGTTTAATTAAGAATTAATCTACCTGTTAATTAAAAAATCTAAAAGTATCTGTCATGGTTAAAAAATGTTCACAATTTAGGGGAGAAAATGTGTAAGCGGCCAGATAGCTCAATCGCTACAGCTGCGGTCCATTATTCTGTGGGTCACATACTCGATTTCAGGTCAAGCTGAAAGTTTTACTTATCCTGTGACTGCATATAACCCTGAGTTTTATTCACTATGCTCTGCAAACATCAGAATTTCAAGGACACAAATCAATAAAGTGGGGAAATATGTTGTGGTTTAGAACTGTTCATTATTAAAGAGAAAATTTGTAGCTGGCCGGATAGCTCAATTGATCTTCTGACAGTCATGGGTTTGAGTCATGGTCAAGCAGTTTCAGTCAGGGTTTAGAAATGGTTTTTCAACTGACACATGTTTGATTCATTTACCAGATTGTATTTAATTTGAAATGGACAAAGGCAGCCTTGTATGCATGATACTTTTAGATCTACAAAAGGCATTTGATACAGTTGATCACACTATACTGCACATGAAGAAGTTTTTCTTCTTCTTCATGAAACTTCTAGCATCTGCTATAGGTAATGATATTCTTACATGGTTAAATGCTTATTTGTGATGGACAGCAGCTAGTGGATGTGGCTGGTACTCATTCTACTACTGTTCCGAGTACCTATGGTGTTCCCCTGAGGTTCATGTAAAGTCCTATTTTATGTCTAATGTATGTCAGTGACATGTCTTCAACCCTAAGCAATAAGCTTTTATTATATGCCGATGACTCAGGTATCCTTGTATCTGGTAAAACAAATCTGAAGAAATTCTCTCTTATGGCATGACTCTTATTAGTGATTTGTTTATTGGCTAAAAATTGTCTTTGCATCTTGGCAAGACAGGGTCTATCCCTTTTGGTTTAAGTTTCAACTTAAACTGAGCCTAGCCTCCAGGTCACGTAGTACTGCTATAAAGTACACATCTTTTGTTAATTGTTTAGGTGCAAAACTTGATCCTTTTTTTTTGGCGTCGCCTTTGATGCTTTACATCAATGCTTTTCTTGTGTACATTATTGTTTACTCCACTTAATCATCAGATGCCCCTGTGATATAACTGAAAAACTGTTTTTCACAAGAAAGTCATCGACATGACTAAACGTGTATGTAAATGTAAATATATAACATTTAGTTAAAGTTGTATAATGATTTACAAGCATATTTAGATACTTACGCAACCGCTATATCATTAAAACACTTGACATTTTATCACGTTGTCAATTGACCTTCATAATAAGGAAGCAACTTTCACTTAACTTGACAAGGAGACAATATAAATATTTAACCCCTAACTGAAGTTTATAAAATATGTTCAACTGAAATGGGGACTTTTTCAAGCAATAAACTAAAGATTGATCAATCGAAAAAAATATCAAATATTGCTGTCGGTAAATTGTTTGATGGCAGTAAACTGAAAATATTTAATATTCATCGATATCTATTCACTATATCTATGACAAAATCAATAAAAATGCGCGTTCAAGTGATAAATTTGATTAGGTTTGAAACCTTCCCCATTAGACTACCTTTTCACAGAACAAAATAAATTGTACTTTTACCGAACTAAATAACCAGCTTGCGGAAGAACCTTTCACCGTATACAAAAAAAATTAGATTGTAATTATGCCTTATTTACCACATTACAACGGCAACAATACTTCAGCATATGTAGAAGCTTAATTCAAAATCATGAAAAAGCTGAATCGTTACAGTAGATCAATCAATATTCGACAATGGCGCTTAATGCTATTAATTATATAAATTATAATTTACATGGTGTTTAATATAACGAAAATGTCGGAAATAATACTTTGAAACTTGTGTGTGTATTATGTGTGTTCTGTTTAATGTATTCGTATAAACGATTTTTTTATCGAACCAGAGTACCACGATTACCCGACCTCTTACAAAACCTATTGCGATCATTGCAATCACTTCCCCATCTTCTTTAAAAATATCTTTGTTGTTTTTAAGTTCATAAAGATAGGTTGCTTTTTGTTCTAAATTATTATATTTAGATAATTTGATTAATAAACGACAAACAGACTGTTGAACAAAGGAATACATTTAGAATTCAGGCAAACATAATGGTTAGCATTTTATTTACATATTTGCAGATTATTGAAAGCGCACAATCATGGATAATAAACAAAAAGAACTCATCGTTGAAGCCTCACTTAATTTGTTAAAATTATCTACAGAACACCTTTCACTATGAATGTACTGTATGGAAAGTAAATATCAGCGTTCAATCTGACTTTTTTGAACTCCAACGCCTTAAACTTAACGAACATATCTAGATCAACAAACAGCGTACTTTATTTGCTTCAACAATGTTATCACGATATTGATCGACCTACTTAACCAGGAAGTACTCCAAATTTAATTTAAGACGTAGGCAACATGAATTTTAAATGCCTAACCGAAGCTTTTAAATTGTGATCAAACTAATCAGGGACCTTCTCAAGCAATACTATTTGTATTATCAATAACCAAATGACAAAATACCGGGGTTGTAATAATGTTTAATGCAAGTAATTTGCAAATAACCAATGACTTTGTATATGGTTGCAATATATTCATGTTTATTTAGTTCAAAATGCATGTGCAAAAAAATAAAGTTCAGCTACTGTGATAACTTCCCTCCTACCTAACTATACACTCATAACCCGGATGAATTGAAATTATGTACCTAACTATTGAAAAGAAGATAACTTTCCCTCTTCCTTTTTCAACTGCAAAAAGAGTTAAAATTTTGTTGAGATGCGTAATTCACTTAAACGAGCGCATGAGGTCAAAAGGAAATAGATTAAGGGAGTATCAAATTGAATATCATAAAGGATAGTCAATATAATAATCAATGATTAATGTATTTATCATTACCAGACAATAACGGTCTGGTCTGTAGTGATTATAATAATAATGATGATAATAATAATAATAAAAATAATAATAAAAATAATAGTAATTATAATAATACTACTAATAATAAAAAATAATAATAATATTAAAAGTAGCATAAATAAAAACAATAATAATTATAATAATCATCATCATCATCATAATTATAATTATAAAGGTAATAATAATAATAATAATAATGAAGGTAACAATAATATTATTATTATTATTATTATTATTATTATTATTATTATTATTATTTATAATAATAATAATATTAATAAAGGTAATAATAATAATAATAACATAAACCAAGAAGAAAGAAAGCATATTTAAAAAAATCTTTAACTGAAATAGATATCTTACAGATTTGAATAAATAGAATAATAACGAAAAATGACTAAAAAAATCAAGATTTGGAAATGCTGAACAAAAAATAATATCTTAAGTTCTGAGTTGATTGAGTGATTTTATTCAGGTTAAAAAACACTCTGATACAGTTCTATGATAACTAGGAATCCAAATTCATATTTAAAAAAAATATATAGAACTTATCTATGGATACATGCCACCTGTACAACATATTTTTACCCAAAAGACAATTTTATATTTTTAGCCATGTTGACTTCTTTGCGACGTCGATGAACTGCGTTGTCGCTTATTAAATGGCACGTGGTAATTCGCCACAAAACACAAAGTCTCTGTTAGTCATTGTTGAATATGAATCATGAATATTTTTAAATACACAACATTTCGTCTCATATAAATGACAAATATAATTGACAGTATTCAAAGGCCTATTATGCCTCAGGTATGCTATCATTTCATTTTTTTAAATATTTTGTTGTTGGTATTTTCCTACTCATGTTTGCTATATAGGTTAAGTATATTTTGCTTTCGTTCCTCTGTTAGCAATTGGTATAATTTTGGTGAAATAGTGTTTGTATGGAAAAAATAGAGTATGGTTATTGAGGCATAATGTGCCTTAAATACATGAATCAAACATATTTGTACCTTACTTGCTAGGAACAGCAAAATCGACAGAACATAACAAATCGTTGTTACGCAGTTAGATACAAGCTCATATATTAGAGTTAGCATTAATACTAAAAAACTGGACACACTCGCGCATAACATTTAAAAAAAGCAAATAGTACAAATGTGCAGTTCATACTTTCCAACGTTTACCAATTTATTTAGAACATTGTATTGTATTCATCAGAAGCAAGCCAATCTGGATAAAGAAAGTCATTTCAATGTGTTTATCCTCTTGTCGAAGGGAAACTATCAAATAGGTATAGCAACTAGAGGTAACTTGGATTACCTTCCTTTGGTCAACCAAAAACGTTTCATAATTTTGAGATTAAAACAAACCCTGAAACATTAGCAATTCTGTTGAACAGTTTAAAATATGCAATATCACTATTTGAAACGAAACAAAACACATGCTTTGAATATAAAAAATCGACACACATGACACATAGCATCCCGTCAACATAAACTATAATCAAGGTTTTACGAACGCGTAAAGTGACTGCGAAGGAATGGCAGCTGTACATTCCTTACGTAAAGAGGAATAAAATACCTACGTTCAGATCTGCGCAGTTGTGAAAATTGAAATTAAAGGGGGAGCTTTATGACATAGACATATGACATTACGTCGTACACGTGGTATACTGTGACAGAACGTGCACGCTTTAATCAATGTTGTAAGATGAGTTAACCAACAATTGTGCCAGGAATCCGACATAAGAAGTCCTATCTATATAATAATAAATATAAAAAGAGTTCGATTACAATCGTAATAGTTTATCATTAATATGTCTTGGACTTTAATTAAAAATTTTCTGCTCAAACGATGGATAAACTTTAATAAGCAAATGATCATCAAAAAAGCCATAGATTCGAGAATAAACGTATTTGAAAAGCCATAAAAGGCATCAGGCCCGTTACAAAATCTAACAAAATGTGTGACCATGCTTATCTTTTTTAAAAGGTGGTTATAAAAGTTATGAAACCGAAAACAATGTCTGCACATCACTATCTCAAGCATTTTACAAGAAAAATACAATATTATTGAAGATTTATACATTTAAATTTCTTGAAAACGAAATTTTTTTCTTGTTTTTTGTTTAAGGTAAAAAACCAAAAGATTGAAAATAATACAGATATTTTATGACATTGCAATCCATTATATAACGATACTTTTGTCCAATGCAAAATTTTTCATATTTAGATGGAGACAACGCGTTAACGCATGATTTGAGCCTAGTTCTATGATATCAAGTGTTGGTAAACTACCATCATTACTACATCAGACATTTGTACAGTCCATTATTTGTATACGGAGATAAGAGAAAATTGTTCTTCCAGTTAGCGAAAATGGAAAAATAATTTTCCTATTCAATTTTGTAAGCGTTCATATGTTGTCCTTTCATTGGAATAATGTGCCAACTCTGTATATAGTGGTGAAGGTAATGATGTTGATTCATTTGCATCATGTTGTGCCATTCTTACATCAGAGATATTTCCCAAGTTTTCATTCCTGATAAAACAATGTGACTTTATATTTCATGTCTCGATGCTAAAATATCAAAGGTAACTGTTTATTGATTTGTTAACATGTAGAAATATTGTCGTTTCGTTTAGACAAACAAATATTCGTATCTTGACACGATTTCATTAACTCTATATGTATATCGGGCACTGATAAAATAAATTTCTTCTAGGCGCATTATCCCTCAGAGACGAATTTTGAAAAAAAGTGCAAAGATAAATAAGGTAATGGGTCACTTTTTTAACTATAACAGGTCACTAAGATAAAAAAAAAATGTTTTAAGAAATATAATTTAATGCATTTCTGAGACATCATGGGCCTTTAAGAAATTGTAATTAAAAGGTCATTACATATCACCTTTGTAGACATTTCAGGAAAGTTTAACAACAATATATATATAAATGGCAATTATTAGTCAAATATATATATACTAGAGTATTCAATAATCGTCTCAGTGTACATGGGCTGAAAACTATGAGGTTAACACTGAGGCTCAAACGGGATTTCGAACAGGTATGGGTAGAACAGACAATGTTTTTGCACTTAATAGTCTATTTAATCATGTCATGGATATTGGAATAAAATTATATTGTGATTTTATAGACTTCAGCAAAGCTTTTGATTATTTTAGCAGGGACTGTCTTTGGACCAAACTTATAGAATTAGTTATTAGTGGTAATATTTATAATAAGATATAATGCGTTCGATGTATCAAAGTGTTAAAGCTTAAAATACATGAATTAAATGATAGTTTCGAATGTATCTTAGGTGTGAGACAAGAAGAATGTGAAACCCCATTTTTATTTTCTATGTTCTTAGTTTTCTTATGTTCTTTCTATGAAAACCAATTTTAGTGTGCTTTTATAGTGTGCTTTTATAGACTTCAGCAAAGCTTTTAATTATGTTATCAGGGACCAAACTTATAAAATTTGTTATTAGGGGTAATATTTGAAATATAATGCGGAAATATAATATGTTCGATGTATCAAAGTGTTAAAGCTGAAATACATGAATTAAATGATACTTATGAATGTATCTTAGGTGTGAAACAAGAAGAATGTGAAACCCCATTTTTATTTTCTATGTTCTTAAATGATATCGAACACATCTTTGTTCATAGTAACCTTAATGGCATTAGTTTAAAATGTCCCTTATTTTATATGCAGATGATATTGTTATATCTGCTGATAGCGAAATAGATTTGCAGTCTAGTTTACACTTACTATATGATAACTGTTATAGACGGAAGTTATTAGTAAATACACCAAAGACTAAAATACTCATATTTAGAAAGGGTGGGTGCCTTCGTGCAAATTTGCAGTTTAAATATGGTGAAAATAACACTGACATCGTAAATCGTTTGTATATTTAGGTATTGTATTTACGACATCTGGTTGTTTTGCTGATCCACAAAATACTGTAGCTTGCTAATGGTTAAAAGCAATATTTAAAATTAACAAATACATTTACTTATATATACATACATTTACTAATGTGTATGTAAAATATAGATTATTATTGTTTGATAAGTTAGTCTTACCTACTTTTAATTATTGTTCTGAGGTCTTGGGATTTTACCCCGGTGCTGCTATTGACAGAGTTCACACACAATTTTGTAAACGTTTACAATATATTGGGTGTAAAGAAATCCACTCAAAACGATTTAGTTTATGGAGAATTAGGTCGCATGTCGTTACAAAACTTTTTTATTATTTAAAAAAAGAAGATTTTATTACATTATTAATACTGGATAAAACTTGTGTATATGTCCCATCGCAAGTATGTTAAAAAAGTATATAATATATTATACAATGATGTTCTGTATAATCCCAATATGAGGCATTGGTGATTATTAGTTAAAAACTTACTTTGTGAATTGGGTTTAATAGACACATGGATTTTTCAAACAGTTGGTGATGTTGATTTGTTTTTATAAAATGTCAGACAAAGAATAAGAGACCAGTTTGCTCAAAAGTGGATTGGTAGACTAAACAATTCCAGTAGAGCAATCTTGTTTAGAGACATAATTAATTTCTGCTTGCAACCATACATAAATATTTTTAATTTTAAAAAGTTACGTGTATCTTTGTTATGATTACGTATGCCATCACACAGATTATTAAAACAGGGAGATCATACCGGCTCAGTGCTATTCCTAATGATGATCGCAATTGCTCTGAATATAATGTTTTAAAGGACGAGTTTCACCTTGTTTTACAATATAATAGATATATTAACCTAAGAAACAAGATTATATCGCCATATTATTTGAAACATCCAAATATGATACAATTTATTGCTCTTATGAACTCTGAAAATGATACTATTATAAAAACGTCTTGCATGTTATATTGAAAAAGCTTTAAATGTTAGGACCGACACTTTTTTCATTCAACGTAATTAAGGTGCTGTCAACTGTGCAACGTAAGTAATTGTAAAATGAAATATATATATATATATATATATATATATATATATATATATATATATATATATATATATATATATATATATATATATATATATATATATATATATATATATATATATATATATATATTATCATTAAAACGTGATAAATGTTATTGTGCTGCGTTGAAATAGATAAGTAGATAATATAATAATGTTTATGAAATAACAATAACCGAATATAAATAGAGTTTGTTATTTCTTAACATTATATATATACTGAAACAAAAAAGAAACTTTCTCCAAGTTTGAATGTAGATATGTGAGTACAGTTTTTCAATCCTTTTGAAACTCGATTTTTACGTTGAATAAACATATCGGGCTTTTATACGGGGATTAGCTGACCGATTTTGCAAACAAAACGAGTTTTACAAGCTACTACATGTATATAAGTGTGTTCATCTAAGTGGTACCCTTGAACAACTGGCACATACTTTGCGAAAGTTTCTTTTTTGGTTCAGTATATAATTATATATACAATGTAGATATTGAAAAAAGTAAAACTTCTTACACGTAGGTTCCATTTGCAGAATTTGATGTAGTTCCTGAAATAGGATTATATTTATAACTTTTAAAAAGCAAATTATTGTTAGTATGAGATGGTTTATAGATTATTACGATTTTAGTACAAATAGTCGTCACATAGAAAATAAAGACATCAGCCAAAATGGAGTAAAATGTGTACCTTCTTTTTTGGTTTTCCGTTTATACATAATTGTTACACCTGTTGCATAGATCAACACGGCAATGCATACAGCCCCAAGAATTATTGCCATTGTATAATTTGTCTTTGTTGTACTTGTGTACATGTCAGATCTGAAATCTTTTAAAAAGAAAATATAACGTGTAATAAACATTTTAGCTTGCTTTGTTTATTATTGGTTTTGTTAAGTGCTGCTGAAATATTTAAGTATTTGTTGCAATTGGTCACTTCACATATGAATTCATTGCTAACAAAAAAGGAGTGTGATCTATGATGTATATTGATGTTTTATTATCTTTAGATAATCTACCAACACGTTAAATTCTTATGAAAATTCGTAATGTTTTATATTATACTAGCAGATACAATAGAAAAGACCAAATAAGCAAAATGTAAAACATTCTGGTGAAATATCAACGACATGTGTCGAAGAGGTACGAGTATTAATTTTATAAAAATAGAAAGGTGACCATAGCGTTTTCAAATCTATTGTTTTATGTCAAAGTTAAATGTTTTATAATATGACATCAGATCGTCTGAACATTTAAAACAAGAAAGTGTTTCGAAAACGAAAATCGTAAAAGTTTCGCCGTGCACTGGTTGGCCATTCAGCGAATCTTTAAATAAAAATTATTTTTAACATATTTTCCCGAAAGATTGGTCTGAAGACAGATATTTCAATAGCAATTACTTACATCTTTTCAAAAATAAAAGTACTGCGTTATATTTAAAAAAAATGGAATTTTCATGCGTTTTTTGGAAAACCCTCGTATAATTCGGGTCAACCCTGAATGTTTCCTGTTTTTAAACCATTCTTACTATTAAATTCCCCCGACACGACCTTTCAAAACATGCATGTCAGTTGTTTTTTTTTTAAATCCTGTAGGATAAACAACTTATTTTGTTTAAAAATTGATGAATGGTATCTGTGATCTTTTGTACCTGAAGAAAATACAATCAATGATGTTGAATATCGACTGTTTTGTTATGAAACAACATTGCATAATTATACAAATATGTTGGCAAAGAATCTTTGAATTTAATTTTAATTCATTTTTTACAGATCTGATTGTTGTCTAGTGCAAAGCATAAATGTATTTTAAATTAACCATTCTATGTAACAATGGTCTTTTAATCTGTAAAATTGTTCAAAGAGTTACAGCTAAATTATGACATGATATTAAAACTATACTGAAAGTATATATCATACACTATACGATAAATATGTATATTTGTTGGTTGTTCTTGACAAAACTGTAATGAAAAATATAACATACAATACACGGTTAGCTGCATGTACATTTGCTGGTTATTCACGACACAAGTCCAATATTTCTTGTCGTCAGAGCTATGAAGATTAGTGATTTTAATTGTAACGCCACTGTTGCTAGAGCTGAATTTATGTCTGGGTTGTGTTCCAAAACAACTTGTTGGGTAACAATTGGCTAAGGATTGAGCAGTTGTTAAATCTGAAGTGGGGATGGAGTCAGTCTTATACACCCTGACAGTGTCTGCATCGCTAAAGTGTACAATGTCACAACCAATTTGGATTTCTCCACCTTTAACAGGTACCTTGTTGTCTTTAATATAAATTTGTTTCAGAATACCTGCATAGAACAAATCAAAAATATTTTAGGTACGGAATTGGCCATAAATATTTCATACTATAACTCTAAAAATGTATAATTTGGATATTATTTAAATAAAATATTGCTTGAGAGAAAAATGGTGATAATACGAGGGATGTCCCAAAATATCGTAGACAAAGTCTGTTACTCTATCAATTATAACACAATAGAGTCTTCCAGCTAGGGAAAAGTCAATATACCTTTTATGTGTGTCTATGCGAAATAAAATCAAAATACCTCCAAGGTTGACCAAGTTATCAAAATTTAAAGAATGCTACCTATAAATACCCGGCGCACGCCGTCATAAACGTCATGACGTTATAAGATTTTTATAAATGTTTTTCAAAGTATTCTCCGTGTTTCTCGATCCACTGTCGGTGTCGGACGACCCATTTATCATAAACATTTTCAAAATAGTCCTGCTTCAATATTCTCAATAGAGTCAATGCTCTCGTAGATTTTCCTGGCTGAGTTTGCTGAAGTATTCGAACATGTGACCTCGTAACTGTGATTTCAATGCAAAGTCTAAGGGCGTATGGAAGTCTCTGAAAACCTATCACATCAAGTTCAATCTGTGTCTCCTTAGATCTATGGGAAGGTGCATTATCTTGATAAATCAAATGTTCTCCATATTGTCAATTAACGCTGGACGCTTCTTGAACTGAACACAGTATTTTCATCTGACGTCGCCATTTTGGGCATTTTCAAAATAGCACTGCTGTTACATATTATGCTACAGATTTTTTCAAAGTAACATTACATAAACGTCTGTTGGTGATATGACGTCAAAATGAATAACGTCATTCCACAGGAATGTATTTCCCATAATTATTATTATGCTGGAAGTTAAAGGCATGTTTTTTAAGAAGCATGCTCTCAACAGTGACTAATATTTTATCGTGCTCTGGGTATGTTGTACTGTTAAATATAAAACCCTGATAAAAAGCGTTACCTAATATATTGGCTATTGACTTTAAGTAGGTAAATTAACGAATGACTAAGGAAGATATCTGGTAAATTTTATTAAGTTATGACCTCAGGTTGAAGAGAAAATAATGTAGTTTACGACATTTTTGGACAACCCTCGTACTCAAAATGATTTTAAAAATAGGTATATAATGAGCGTAAGTTTAATACTGAATTTTATGAACAATTTCAATAAATTTAGTATGTAACTTACACTCTTTTAATATTCTTCATGTATTTATCACATACCCAAAACAAAAATGGTTTAACGTGAAAAGTAACTTTTTCAGTGACGCACCTATAATGTAACGCTTACATTTTGCGCTTCTTTACACTATGTTTGTATAACGGAAAAGACGTCATGTCAAAATAAATGCACAGTCTTGCATCACCGTTGTAACGGAGTCGCAAAAGCGGCCCGCGTATGTGATATGCATGTACGAGTATATTGTATTTAAGTCCTGGACATAAATCACATTACGCAATCAAATTACATACCAAACGAATTTAACAAGCCAATGGTTGATATATTTTCATATTATTTTTTCTTGAGATTCGAAGACTTGTGTAATAGTGCATATTACCACCGTAGGGAACGTGTTACAGTATCGCGTTTTCCAGTTACAGTATAGAATTTTAAAGATGGAGGATTATTTGTTGGGAGGACAGGTAGGTGATTTTTATTCAGGTCCATTCTACAAGTAGTTTAGTTTTTAATCTGAAAGATGTTTTTGTGCTTTGCTTGTAAGGAACTGAATCCGGTATCTAGTCATATATTTCTTCAGACCCTGCGCCGCAGATTTATCGCTATAATGTCTCATAAATATGCAGATTTGACGGTTTGAAAATTTGAATCGAGAGACCAACGCATTTTTCTCCAATTTCGACATTATTTATGCATGCCTAGAAAAAGTTAATCTGCAAAACATTAGTCCTTCATGTTAGGAAACGTTTATAAAAGTAAATGACCAGTTAAACCTATTTTTCTGTTCCTAAAATGCGTTTGAAAAAATAAACAATGTTACAGTATAGAGCGAGTTGATTTGTGCAGGGTTACAGCATAGACTTAGCGATTTGTATCCAATTTTGTTACAGTTTATACCCAGATTTCGGTTACAGTTTAGATTTTGAAAAAGATTTTGAAGTTACGATTTTTTTGTCATTATTAAATTAAAAGTCGTTTTTTTTATTTCAGACATCCTGTATAGCAGTTTTCATGTTTCTGAAAAAGAAAATAATATTGAAAGTTATAGAGTATAAATTAAGGTCAGACAATTACAATATCTTCTCTAGTGAGCCTGATGGAGGTACATAATAGTGGCAGAGTCGGGATAATGCCGTCGACTTCAAATCATCTTTCATTTACTGCTGTAGTTGAAATCCAATCATTGGGATTCTGTTTTTCTCTATTTAATTGTCACATCCATGTTATTTGTGACGTGTGGCGGCTGTACAAAGTCTCCCCGTACTTTCAATTAATGATGTTATATTTTCGATCCTTGAAGATAGTTCAGCACGACATGCACTTTCCAGTACCGTCCATGAACAGGCTCAATCAAACCGAGCCTGCAACATTTTCAATTTTGGCGTGTTGGACTTTCTGTAGGGATTCTGTTTTTCTCTATTTTTTTGGATTCTTTGTATGTGAGAAATCTATCAAGCTAATTTACGGAAGGTCAGTGGTACTAGTCAGGTGCCCGCTCGTGTCTGAAATGTTTCACAAAGGGTATCTGGGGTCTTTCTTTACACTAAAGCAGGAATGTTTTCACATGACCTCAGTGTCGTTGAAACTTAAAATCCAAGAAAGCCAAACGTAACAAACCCTTTTAAATACTAATAAAATACTTTATGGTAGATGGAAATTCCAACTTAAAATAAAATTCAAGGTTGCAGTGTTGCTCACTTAAATACTGTTTAATCATTCTTAGGGTATTGCCTGCTTGTTAATTGTGACTTTTGACAGCTTATCTATGGTACGCAGGATTCATTACCTCCGATCCCTTCTCAAAATTTCATTTTGTTTAGTTTCACTCATTGTATTCTCGTTTAGGGCACACGCAATTTTTAACCTGGGGGTAATATGCCGCTTTTCATAGAATGGCACATGGCAATAACGTGTCACATTGAAGGTTTCATGAAAACCGCCATATGAACAGTCCACAGATGTTAAAAAAAATCTGAAGTGTACCAGTTACCACTACCGTCCATGAACAAGTTTAATCAAACTGATCCTGCAACATTTTCATGTTTTCCGTGTTGGACTTTTGTTAAGGATTCTTTTTTTTTCTCTATTTTATTACTAATAGGCATTATTATAATGTATAATGAAATCAGGCAATAATCTTTCTTCTCTCAATACAATTCGATAAAAGTAACTGTTGTTGTCGTGAAAACAGTCCTTACTTGGGACATTACTTATTCTGCAAAAAGTCTCAATTTGAAACTTAAAGTAAGAAAAATAGCAAACTATAACTTTTCTGCTGAAGAAAAAAGTAATACAACCTTTCAAGAATGTATTAAATAGAAAGGTATGAGTTATTTCATAAAAATAATGGATACACGAACTTTGTTTGAAATTTGGCAAGAATCTAAACTGTAATAGAAATCTGGGTATAAACTGTAACAAAATTGGATCAAAAACGTGAGGTCTATGCTGTAACCCTTCAAAATTAACCTCGCTCTATACTGTAACATTGTTTATTTTTTCAAACGCATTTTACCAACAGGAAAATAGGTTCAACTGGTCATTTACTTTTATAAATGTTTCTTAACTCAAAGGACTAACGTTTTGTATATTTACTTTATCTAGGCGTGCTTAAATAATGTCGGAATTGGAGAAAAATGCGTTGGTCTCTCGATTCAAATTTTCAAACCGTCAAATCTGCACATTTATGAGACAATATAGAGATAAATCTGCGGTGCAAGGTCTGAAGAAATATATTGCTAGATACCGAAATCTGTTCCTTAAAGGCAAAGCACAAAAACATCTTTTAGAAACTAAACTACTAGTAGTATGGACCTGAATAAAAATCACCTATCTCTCTTCCCATAAATAATCCTCCATCTTGAAAATTCTATACTGTAACCGAAAAACGCGATACTGTAACAGGTTCCCTACGGTGATTACATATATATCTATATATTTGCTTTTTTGTGTAATTAATTATCAATAAATCTTGAGAAAATGACAGGTACAGAATGTTATGCAAATATATGTTTAAGGCTTAACTCTTACCATGACCCCACGTTGAAGATATTGTAGTTGTTTCAGTTATTGTATCTGTCAAAAGAAATAAAATTTATAAACATCAATCAGAGTCTCATTATGTAGACAATTATCAGAAAAGTTCCGGTATCGAACTTATATTGAATGTCATGTAACCTTTGTATTCTCAACTCCTAGCATTAAAAATCTAAAAAGAAAGAAAATGATAAATGTATGAAATTATATTTGATACAAAACAAACATGTATAAATGCAAACAATGGACACATGAATATTTCTGTATGACTAGAATGCGTGCAAGTGAAAACTATTTTGAATTAAATCTTAATTGTAAACAATACGTAAGGTAGCAAACTGTTTTATTATGTCAGTTTTCGCCCTCGCATTATACAACTCAGTGTCTTTATTCATACGAGCTCAATGTTGCTACAGATACACAAAATATGCGCGATACAAGATGGTGCTTACGATACCAGCATGTTAAGTCAGTGAGATCCAGCGTCGGCGTTGGTTTGATTAAAGAACTACATAGTACAGTTGTTCAACGTTTCCTGTAAACTTTATTATTCAAAGTTTCAAAATTATGTTGTCATGATTGTTTGAATATTCGCCTTCTGTTTTCTTCTCCGATTTTCAGCTATAAAGCCATTATGTTAACGGACTTTTCAATCAGTCTTTGTGTAAATATAATACTTGTATTATAACGAATAAGTTTTATCAGCCTATGTGTTCTTTTGTAGATTATTTTATGCGTGACATTGAACTTAAAATATCTACTTCAATCTCCTGGTCATGAATATTCTAAATAATAATCTTTGGTCTGGAAGCGCACATGTTTTAAGGTAGTGGGCGGAAAAACTCTCAGTACTTAGGACCACTGAACTACTTACCTAAAAATCGATAGGTCATTTTACGAGGGGTTATCAAGAATTACGTAGACTGGTTCAATATCTTTAAAACGGACCCATATAAAATATTTTTATTTATATCACTGTCGTGACCTATCTCTTTGCCATTTACAAAGAGCTGTAAATCAGTCATGCATTATTCAGAGCAGAATAACTAGCATAATTGTAACTATAGTAACGCGTTACCGGCCCAGGTGCTATTTTTATATATATGATTGCTTTATTCAATGCATTAAAATTTCGACCCTGTTTATCAAAATAACAGAAAAATGCGGGAATATGATTAAGGACGTTTGTATGACGTCATTTGACGTTAGATAAGGAAAATAAGCAACGTTTAAACCATAGTAGTCCGTTACGCAGCTACGTTAAAAATGATATCACAAGACCGCTTTGAATTGCGTGCCCACATAAAGTTCTGCATGGAATTATGTGAGACACATATAAAAAGCTGCAGAGGACCAGAGAAGAGAATGCTGTTTCTCAAGCACTCGTTTTTAGGTGGTTCCGGCAATTCTCTGAAGGGCAGAAGTCACTTGAAGATGATGAAGGGCGTGGATGAAGGTCGAGCGTCAAGCCGTCAGATGTGACGTCAATTGAAGATATTATTAAGGAGGTCGCAAGAGTGACCGTTCGAGAGATATCAGAAGTAACTGGGATGAGCTATTGAACCACGCACACAATTATCACGTAGAAATTGGACATGCGAAAGGTATTTTATGTGCATTTAGTTATGATTTTTTTGGTTTTAATCACCATACAACCTATTCAGTTTCGAATATAAAAATTTTAATTTTTCGCGCTAATTTATGATTTCTAAATAATAAAATGCACGGAAACACATTCATTTCAAACATCCTGCGTATTTCAAATTTATAAACAATGTATCAAAAACTTAAACAATTTTACAAAATACCTTAATATTTGCTTATCAAGGAAGGGCCAGCGCTTTGAGAATTTGGAGGAGTTACAGTCAGCGAGAAACACTATAATACGTTAGTATCCAGCAGAGTATTACATGAAAATATACTCTCAGTGGCCTAAGAGGCACGAACGTTGCATTGCATGTTCTGGCCCGTACTTTGAAAAAGAGTGAATGTCATATGCCAGTTGATGCTTTTCCTTAAACACTGACTACGCTGCGACGTCGCTGACGTCGATAGTTTTTTGACGACGTGGGCCGGTACCGCGATAGGGACACATTTTCATGGTTTGTTATTCCGAATTATGATAACATATTGTGAAACAAAATTGCATGTTGTTTGCTGATAAAATGTACTTTCATGTGATATAAATTTTATGTACGCCTGTCAAACAATAAAGGAGACATTGAGCTGTCTACGTAATTCTTGATCATCCCTCGTAGTCATATTCAACTTCCGAATCAATTTGCAAATTCATTACCATATTATTCTTTACCTTTAATCTTCAGAGTGTAAAGTCATCTAATATTCAATACATACCAATATCTACACACAATTCTGAAACGTTTTGAAGCCTTCACTTATTAATTTGTTGGATGAGTTTTTAGTGGCTAATGGCATGATGACCTTTGAACTATAAACCGTTAATCAATATGGTTTGTGTTATGACACTGTGAAAATGTGACCCTGACCTTTAATCTACTGACTCTCTCAAATGTAATTGATGCCATATTGTCACGGTCTAGGCCGTGAGGTAAAAACCTTTGGTAGTGTGGTCTGTCAGTAGAGATTTATTTATGTAGTCTGTAAAGGGAGTTGGCTGGCTTCTATAGTGATTACTATTCTTTTATCATTCAGCAACAGATTCTATACGATAATGTATTAATAAGTAAAAGTTTGTAGTAGAAATCATCAGAGTTTCAAGTCCTATTTATGTTTAAACCGTTTTCTAAATGATATATCTCCTTTAATGTAATGCATCTTAATGTCTAACGCGTGTACCTTCTTTAATAGTCAACACGGAATATAGCGTACCAGTGAACCGTGACTAAATTCAACAAGCAGTTAAATAATCTATTTCAAGCAGTAAAGTGTTAATAAAAACGTGTAATAAAGATTAAATATCTAGAAAATAGCTCAGAACTGTTTAGTCTGAATAAATAAATCGTTATTTATCAAGAATAGTTTAATTAATTTAAAACGTATTTAGTTGCAGACGGCATTTATAAAAAATTTCCGCCCAAATTTGTAACTCAGCAAAACGGGGTTTTGCCTCTGAAGTTCTGGTCAAGACTGAGCTGTTCAACCAAAAATCTGGGCCCTTTTATACCCAGACAAATCCCAACCAAAATAAAGTGGTTGAAGTGGTTGGTTTACCAAAGTGGTTGTGGTTGGAGCCAAAAAGTGGTTGGTCCGACCAAGAAATATTGGTTGATTTACCAAAAAGGTTAGAAATGTAAACATAGACTCTTAGACCTATGAAATAATAAAAATGGACATAGAACATATTGTTACAAATATTATGGCATTATCTTAAACATGTTATACATTTTCAATGAAGAAAATACACAAAAATCAGATCGCAGAATTTCGTCAATAAATTAGCTGTAGCCGGTCGTCCCTAGTAACGTACCGGAAACAGTTCAAAATGGCATCATGAAGCGAAAGTGGACGCACGTTTTTCTAAGAAAATGGATCATAACTACAAAAATACATGGAATTAAACATTGTTACTTGGCAAAACAGTAGCTTAATTAATTTACAAACAATAACAATAGGATTTATAATCACAGGTAACGAGTGAAAGTGACAATTCCCCTAAGAAGTTAGATTGAGCTGCACATCGTGAAAATGGAGGATAAACAAGGAAACATGTTGGATAAAATAGGATAGATTAAATCTGGCTCATAACCCGTATACATGCGTTGGTGTTTTGATTTCTAGTAAAACACAGCTCATTATAAGTTTTATGGCTAGAAAATGTCAACATATCCTCACTATTAAAGATTAGAAGAAAAGTAATTTCTCAAGTTCAAGTCAATTAAGGTAAGGAGTTGAGTTCATGCAGTTCAGTTATATTACAGTTATAGTTGCAAATTTCAGATCACTACAATATTCTAGCCATGGCCAACTTCCATAGCAAATAAAAGGACTGTGACAATAAGCGTCCAAAAGAGGAAAATGGAACATTTGCTAGTTATGACCAAATTTAGCGCAAAACTGCAGGCCTGTAGGATAAAGTGCCTACTAGTTACACGTAGGGAAACATTTAGAACTCAAGGCCATGGTGTTTTGATCCTTAATCCATTGGCTACACCATCAATGGATCATTTTTTTAATGTTTGACTTCATTTTTGGCTATGATTATTTTATAATGAACGAAATTCGATGTTCTACCACAAGTTAAAATTGCACTCTTTCCTGCAAAGGGTAAAATTTGACACTAGTTTTTGTTTGTTAATCGAACAGAAAGAAGGGAAAACAATCTAAAATAATGTTAAGAAGTTATTGGCCTGTATAAAGATGACAGCCATCGTGTACATTGTGTATCATTTCCAGCACATCAGTGGGTTAAAACATTTGTAAATATCATCGTTTGTGATTAAACAGTGTCCGCTTTTATCTATCACATATTCAGAATACGTTGTTTTTTACGACTTTGTAATATCCAAAAGAGTATTCATTAACTAATAATTTCATCTATCCCATATTCAAAACAAGTTGTTCTTACGACTTTTTGATGTCCAAAAGAGTATGTCTTATTTAAGAATTAAAGAAAAATTGTGTTTATATACTTTTTGATTCTTCAAATGCGTGCTATGTTTCATGTTCTCAATTAAATGTATTTTGCAATGTTTTAATGAACCAATACAACAAATATAAAATTGTGTGTTTTGTTGTTTGTCTACATTGTTGCTGTTGTTTTTTTTTCGCCGATTTAAACACATTTATCTATATTTCGGCGTATGGTCACTTAACCGACTTTCAGTGACCAATATTTCCATGACCAACTGTTAATTGCACACTATTTCTGAATCAGTACATGACCATTAGATGCGGTGTTCGAGGTCAATGTCTCCTCTCTTTAAACAAGGTAAGAGACCCATAAAAAACAAATCCTATCTTTTCCTTATTGAGTTTGGCGGCGTAAAACACTTTCAAAAATGTGAAAGAATAAATCAGTTTAAATCGAAATATGTTTAAAACCGAAAGAGAATTAAAAGAACAATCAAATATGCAACCAGCTCATTGTAGTATATTTAGAATTATTATGTATTAGAAGTTATGCCTACGAGTATTGTTGTTTACTGTATTTAAACGTTAAAAGCAATATTTTGAACATCGCTTATACTAATGCAAACTATTAATGCACAATGTACATCATTTTTGTGTCGCCTCTACGGAGTAGTGGCGACATATAGGGATCACTTCTCCGTCGTCTGTCTGTCCGTCTGTCCGTTTGTCTGTTTGTCTGTCCGTCACAGAACTTGTCAGGACTACTCCTCATAAACTACTGGTGCAATTTCATCTAAACTTTACAGGAATAATCAGTATTAAGTCCAGTTGTGCATATATTCAGCATTTTCCGGTTCAATGATTTTGTCAGAGTTATGGCCCTTTAATAATTTTTATTTTTAAAGTTTGTCCGGACTACTTCTCTTATACCACTAATGCAATTTTAAGGAAACTTTACAGGATTGATCTGTAGCTCAAGTCTTTGCGCATATTGCACGGGTTTTCCGGGTGAATGATTTTTGGCTGAGTAATGGCTCTTTGATAAAAAGGTGATATTTTCTGTGTGTTGCCAGATACACAAAAGCTTGTCCGGACTATTCCTCATAAACTACTGGTGCAATTTCATCCAAACTTTACAGAAATGATAAGTACCAAGTTTAGTTGTGCATATTGTCAGCATTTTCCGGTTCAATAATTTGTGTCAGAGTTATGGCCCTTTAATATTTTTTTATTTTTAAAGTTTGTCCGGACTACTTCTCTTATACCACTATTGCAATTTCAATGAAACTGTATAGGATTGATCTGTGGCTCAAGCCCTTGCGCATATTGCACGGGTTTTCCGGTTGAATGATTTTTGGCCGAGTTATGGCCCTTTGATAAAAAAGGTTTTTTTTCTGTGTGTTGCCAGATACATAAAAGCTTGTCCAGACTACTCCTCATAAACTACTGGTGCAATTTTATCCAAACTTTACAGAAATGGTCAGTACTAAGTCTAGTTATGCACTGTCTGTCTGTCTGTCCGTCTGTCCGTCTGTCACAGAACTTTTCCCAACATGAAATAGGCCATCATGAGGCGACACATGTGATCACTTATCGCTCTTGTTATACATAATACTTATGTTTCTAGAAATGTCTAAAATATATCATCACTAGTCTCAAACCTAAGGTATGACACTTACTATCAATTCACATAAATATAAATAATCATTCTACTTTTTCAGACTGTTTTATGTCTTTTAAATATTAAATGTAGAGTACGTCATTGCTAGATCAAAGTATTCAAGCATTACGTAATATTCCTGTTGGTAAAACATCCCATATTTTCTCGGTGTTTACATATTTAAACAAAATCAAGAATGCGATCCATAAATGTTTTCTTCCACAATGTTTTAAAAGGATTTCAAAGAAGACCGAAAGAAAAAACCTATGATTTTGACACTAATCTGACTACATAATATTTGTTTGATTAAAAGGCCCACTATGCCTCAGAAATAATGTCATTTTATTCTTATTTTGGCTCTAATTTTGGTATCTTGTTATCCTTCTTTTGCTCTTTTTGTCTAATATATTGATTTAAGTAATTTAAAAATAAGTATTTAGTATGGAAATCAAATGATACAGTAACTGTAATTACATTTTGCTACCTTTACGACACTTTACCGCATATCCAGCGCTATTTTTTCAGCTGATAAACATAAAACATGATTTAAAGCAATTATCAAAATGTCATTTAACAAATGTTGGCATTTCTTAAGTTTTATATATGTATTGATTCCTGAAGCATTGTGTACCTTCTGTACATTTACAATATTTCCTATATGATAATTCATGCATGTAAAACAGACTTCCGCATTATTTGATGTGCATTTCCATTTCTAAGATAAAGACACCGTGTGTGAATCGCCGATAAAAGGTTCAAGTATTTATCGTTTGAAAATTATAGGACAACACTTATTTTAAAAATGAGGGTTGGAAAATGAAAGATATTAAAATAAATAAACAAACATATTTATTTCTATTACATTTGAGTTCATTTATATTGAATTCAAAATGATATTGTCATACAAACTCATGAAGGTAGTTACATATGGTTTTAAACTTACCTAAGATATACACATCTACACATCCTTCCAACTGCTGTATACCCTGAGTCACCGAATGTTTGTATCTTCCTCCATCTGATTTTTGCAAGTTGTAAAGTCTGATAGAGAGGTCTCCTGTTTCAGCATTGCCGGTAAATGTACAATTGTTACAGGCACTTATGAAAGTATTTGCACCATTTTTATAAAGCGCTGATAGTAATGGAAAGTTTTTATTAGACAGTATTTGGTTGGTTACAACTACAGATGAATCTAAAGAGTTAACTGTCCTTGCTTGAAACTGTAACGTGACATTATTTCCAGGTATTACATACTTAGTTGTTATTGAAGTACAACCAGATACTGAAACAGAACGTTGCATTCATTAAGATGACTCTTGCAAAACATTTCCTTCACATTTTTATCAAAATAAATGCATCCTTATTAAACTTTCATCAAACTTGTTCTTTAGCAACAACATTACAAATTGATTATCGGTTAAATATTCTCTTTTTATCATACAATATTGTAACATATGACAAAATATTATATCAAGATATTTGAAAACGACTTCAAAGGCATTTGAACAATTTCGAGCAATTAAATTATGCAATGCATCATATATATTTATGAGAAAATATAAAACAAATTTGAAATGAATAATACCAGATAGATTTATTTTCTCCAGAATTGAAGAGCATGAACATATATACAAATTATACTACAACCATATATGCCGGTTCAAATAAATGCAGCTACATTATAAATTATATGACATTGAAATTCAATGCATTTAAAATATCACTTGTACATGTATACAGACACATTAACTCGTAATCGCAATATCAACATTCCTATAAGTTAACAAAGACATGTATATGTACATATATGACGAAATCTCTTGCAATAAGTAAGAAATATCAATGCCAATAAATTATATCACTTGTGACGATAAACATGAACTAAACATAACACTGTATGTTTATCATATACAGTGCTAAAATAGTTTGACTTAAATCAGATCAACTTAAGTCTTTCATGTAAATCCCTTACAAACACTTTGAAACTGAATAATTTAGCAGCATTTGATCGTCATCTTTTATAGCAAGCTGAATAAAACGCTCAAAAAGTTCATAATGCAATTAATGTTATAAATGTTTCTATACAGCAAGTATCTAAAACTGATTTCAAAAGACAGAACATGTTTTTTTTTCATTCACCGCATAAAACACATAACGTGGGTGATAATATTATCACAAAATAATTTACACTCCTTGCATTTGAACATAAGATGGCGCAAAACAATATCTTATTGTCTCTATCAAGAGAGGGCATACATATCCAATTTTTTCTTTCTTTAAATGATATTTACCATAGAAACGCCGGCTTAATACAACGTATGACATCACGTTTTTCTGGTCGTATTAAAATATCTATCAACTCTTTCTGTGCTTGCGTTAATACCAACAACATTCTAAAGTGTCAATTTCCAAGAAAATTTGAACGGAAAAATTCAAAATCCAGTGTAATACTGTGAGTTTAATGTTTCTTCAATAATCTGAAAATATCGGGTATGAATCCTGTGCTCTATTTGTTAACATGTAAATAGCACATCAGTATATGAACAAATATAGTCCTTGCTAGATATTATCCCGGTAAACGACACAATTGCCTAAAGAATTGTATGTTCCGGTATACTTAATGTTCTCTACATTGTTAATGCATAATGCACTTAAAGCAAAGTCCATTACGGTATTGCTACACAATAATTTTGCAAATCTAGGAGATGTTGCTAATTTCCGTATCTCTGTTGGTGAGTATTTTTTGCATAATTCACAGCCGTATAAGGCTTTTAGTATCACAATTGAGAAATAAATAGTTCGGGATGTTATCAAATTAAGTTGGTGTGAATGCCACTGTAAATTATTGATAAAAAGGTCCCTGCTTCAGTTAGGGGTTGCCTTGTTGATAAATACTTGTCATATGCAAGACTTAAATGAGTGTATGATTCTGTCTCTTTTATGATTTCTTGGCCTTGTAAAAACGTCTTATGGTTGAGTCCAATGATACATTTTCATTAACACAGTAACACTTATCAGCATTATACCTGTACCTTCAGTGCCGGGAATACGTATTAATGTCAAGTAATTTATCCATGCCTGACGTCAGAAAGGAGATAAGGACCATATCATCAGAAACAATAGGGGAGCAAATATTCATATTATACATACAAAAATCATGAATTTACTTTTCTAGCTGTTTTATCAAATTATTTATGAATATATTATACTGTAGGGGTGTGCTCTTCCCGCCTTGTCTTGTCCCTTAGATAACAGGGAAAATGTTTGATGTTACGCCCTGACATTACACTTAGCGTGTTGCGTTTAGAAATATTACTCGAAAAGCAATGAGTGGTATGATCAATGTTAGATTTCATTAATTTATAGATTAATCCATTATGCTTAATATTGTCAAAGACTTGTTGTCGTCCACCAAAGAAACATACAAAACAGTATAGATGAATTTTTACAAGCGTACTATATGCATTCTCGAAGAACAAATGACGTCATCAAACGTCCTAGCTGTTCTGGAACTCCAACCCCTTGCTGAAAACTTAATGACTGACGTAATACATCTTTACACCTTGATAATAATGTGTATTTACTTTAAAAAATAACTGATGATAATGTAATTGTCCGATAGTAGTTCGGATTGGCTCTACGTTTTGTAACTTTTGTTGTGATTAATGCTTCAAATGGATTACGTTTTCTAACGAACTTTACACATCACAGCAGCATGTGTCAAGTGCCATGCGACAGCTGTAAAGAGCTTGTCCTTCACATTAGTAATATTATATTTTTTTGTACTTCGATTGATTCCGGCTCTTTTCAGTCGCTCAAGCCGGTGCTAGGAATTTGAGGGATGTTGCACGTATATTATAATCTTCATGTACAGATCCAATTAAACAAAGAGTGAAAATTGCATGCATTATCTTGCGATTAATGCTTCCAAGGGATCACATTTCTTCTGGATCTTGATGTGTAGATTTAACATGTCAAAACTGGTGTTATATAATTGTATTTGATTTTATAAAAAGGTAACATAGCTTTAACAATGTCGTATTGGTAAAACGAGTCCTCCAAAATCTCAAATACTTATACTCTTCATGGGGACTCGACAATAACGTCTAACAGTTGGCGAATATAAATCAATTCAAATACAACAAAGAAAGTCTAAAATGTTGTTGACTGGATTATCAGTATATTCAAGAATTTTCTTTTAACTGCTTGCCTTTATTGAATAGCACTGCTTTAATACGAGGGAGAAAATACATATATACAAATTTAAAATTTGGCATTATGAGTCATAAAAATTACTCATATTTTTTCTTCTGATACTAAATGATTAATTACAAAATATTGCTAATTTGTTCAAAGTAGTACATGGTTTAAAAGAACATTCTAACATGTCTCGTGATTTAGTCACTATACACAAAGAAGAACAAAACGTTGTAAAACTGCCAATAAACACTGGTTAGGGAATACATGTTACAAATAAAGCTGTTATATAATCTCCTTCTATAAAATACTTAACAAAGTATATTTTAAGGCAAAAATAATAACGTATTTTTACTGATATTTTCCGTCTTTTTGATGCAAAAATAGCATCTCACATTCAGTGAAACCACAGGTTTGACCTATAACAGTTGATTTTATAAGATAAGTCGGCGCAAACTCATAAGCAGTGTAATGACGTCGTCCTAAGTATGCAATCGTTTAGGCACCATAATGACGCCATTTTAAACTGACATCAATGTGGGATTTGAGAATGATAAAAAAGCACCGATGTAAACAAAATACAATCAAACCTGACGCGCAAGTTTAATAATGTAATACGTTACGTTTCATTTCTTTTGTTGTACAATTTAGCAGCAACAGCGTACGAAACAAAACAGCGCTATACGAAAAAGTGGCAGCTGAAGTAATCTCTGCTTGAAAAAAAAGTGATCTCCCTTATTTTGTTTTGTTAGAATCGAAATATTATTGGTATAAGCTGTTTTCGCTGTTTCGCTGTTTTCGTCGTTTTGTTGCAAAAATTAAGCACGGGCTTCGTGGAAAATTCCTAAGCATAAAAAATCCAAACCGTAATTAAATTACCGATAAACACCGCTGATACCGATATTATTTCTAAAATAAATATAACAGATCTGGGATGCATTTATTTCTTAAATAAATATAATAAATCAAGGATGCATTTAGTGATAACGCGATATATGCAATTTTGTTTATCAGAGTAATCATGACATATATTAAAACAAAATGAAATAAGCAAGACTAGTGGGTGTTTTGGTTTGTTTTATTTTTGCTCTCTTTTTTGTTGTTCATTGGGAGTATATGGAGTAATATTTATTCTTCATCATTAAATTGATACATACATATTGATATGAGTAAGTTTGCAGTATGGAACAATCATATGCAAAAAGGGTAAAACCAAACAAATAAACACACCAATATACTCATACAGTCATAAGACGAAGGTTATACGCTTTAAAATTATAATCAAATTTTGTAGGAATATCTCTAACATAACCGGATAAACCGTATAAAACATTGTACTTCATTCAAACTACACAATGTTAAGTTTATACTTAAACTCGTGTGTCTATATTGAATGACTTTTTCAGTTTATTTCAGTCAAATATTTATATTGAATAACTTTATATACAACGCTTTTATGATTGCGTTTATGCTCGACTTCCCTTCCTTTTTAAACGAAAACTATAAATTACTTTTTTTTTACTTTTTAAGGCATTTTTGAAAATTTGAATACATAACTCTAAGTGGGGTGAAATGCTCTTCTCTAGCACTTTTTTGTGTTAAAGACAAGTTGACATTCGCATGTCAATATTATCCACCTTATATAAAAGTTATTTCCGCAGGAATTTATTATATAATCCCATTTTAAAGTACTTGGTGTAGGTGATATTAATCAAAAATTCATATATGATCAAGTAAAGTTTCGCATAATACTGAGCACTTTTGACAATGTTCGGTATATCTTCCTTATTGTTGACGCTACTACATAGCACATGGGACTTTGGTACACTTACAGCAATTAACGAATATCATGGTGTTGGTAAGTAATTCTCTGCGCCCGGTCTTTGGCGTAATATAGCCTCCGTTAAATTTCAACGATACTATGTGTTGTTTATTTTACATGTTTTTTGCAAGTATTCCTTGACGGAAATTAACCAGTTCTTACAAAGTTATTTTACGCAGTCAAGAGGTTAGACTTCTGTAACAATCTGTATGAATCTGGTATAAAGCCAATGTATAGCTTGTCATTGGTTTAAAAGCAAAATA